GAAGCAGGCCTGCGGGGGGGTGTGGGGTGGGGGGCGGGGAGCTGGCTGGGGAAGCTGTGGGCGGGGTGGGAGAAGTGGCCGCTGGAAGGAGGGCTGGACGCAGGCAGCGGGGCTGGCCAAGGGAGATTGGGAGGAAAAGCGGGGGAGAACTGGCTGCCAGGGAGGGGGTTGGGGGAAGTGGGGCTGGCCAGAGGTGCAGCAAGGGGAGCAGGGGGGAGGAATGAATCGGCCTGCAGGGAGTGGGACTGACCCGACCCCGTTCCCCTCTCCCCCCCACCCACAAAGCACGAGTTAGTCTGGCACAAGGATTCTACTGTCGTCGTCCGTCCCCCGTCCCCCCCCACAAACCCCTCCAGTAGTTGCGAACTGTCTGGCTGGTAGACACACTCATGCAGCCTGCCCCCCTCTACCAGCCAGGCAGTTTGAAACTACAAACTGATACATCTAGTAGTAATACAACTTACCTACTGAGAAAATACCAGACATGTTATATGTCTGGTATTCGTTTGTTTTTCATGTGTTTATATTTTGGGCTGCAAAAAGCAGAACTGAAAAAAAAGGGTTCCAATTAAAGTAAAAACCAGCTTTCTGTCTGTCTTACAGCCCATTTATCCAATCCATATTCCTTAACTTACTGGCAAGAATATTGTGGGTGACCATATCAAAAGCTTTGCTAAAGCTGGCACTGGGAGATTTGGGAGGACCAGAAACAACTTATTTGAATATTCATAATTTTATGAATATGCAAATATGCAAATGAACATTACTGGTCCTCCAAAAGTTCGTGAATGGATTTACTGGTCCCCGTGTCAAAAAGTTTGGGAACCCCTGGTGTAGCACATTGCATCCTGAAAGATCTCAATAAATATACAGAGAGAATAACTTATTGCAGGAGGAGTAACAGTAGTTTGAATTAGGGGCTTTAGTTCGAACTACCTAGCCCGTGCCGCGTGTAGCCGTGGGCAGGTAGTTCGAACTACTGGGCATTTAAAAACGATGGCTCCCGGGAACATGCAAATGAAGCCCGGGACATTTAAATCCCGGGCTTCATTTGCAAGTTCGAATGACTACATTAGCCATCCTAATCCGAACTAGGTTGGCTGGTGTAGACATACCCTCAATGTGTTTCCTTTGGTCTGGAACATGGTAGTTATCCTGCATCAACCAGACCTCCAAATATTTGAGGAAAAGAACTGAAAATCTTTAATCAAATTGTAACTATGCAGAGATTTAGATGGTCAAAATGTGTAATTATTATCTGAGTTTGAATTTTTCCAGGATACTAAGGTTGACATATGGGAACATACAACTATGTTTGGCCAGCAGGTTATCAAGCCGCGTTAACCAGAAATCATTGTTGGCAAATGAGATTGAAGAGGGGAATTGACAACTCACTCTAGGAAAGGAATGCAAAGTACATTACTTCCTGCTAACACAGGAGATTACACACAACATGGAATCTGGCAGCATTTTGCAGGAAGGTTTTCACCAACTTGTCTGCTTGTTATGAATATTGAGTGTGTCTCAAATGTGCTTCTCTTGAATTAGGCTCCACTTTTACAGCTTTTTCCTAAATTAATCTGATTTATTATCAACAATGGGGAAAAAATCTCTGGTATGTTTAGAGTTCCATGTGTCTCACGCTATTGGGAGAGAGTAAAAATTGGGAACTTGTTTATAAGGTCAGCAAATGAAGGACTAAGAAACAACTGTGAGAGGATCAGGTATCTGAGAAGATAATCAGTGGGACAGATAAATTGGAAATGAAGCTTGGTCCTGGGATTTTACCACATAGTTCTGGCAGTCAAGAGATTTAAATTCTAAGCCAGGTTCAAGCACAGACTTCTTTGTGAACTTCTTTGTGCCTCTATTTATTCACATCTTGGATGTTCTGAGGCTTAATTCAGCCTCTGTTTTAAAGCAGCTTGAGTTCCTTTGGAAGGGGCTATAAAATGCAAATGCTATTCATGTTTATTCAGCACATGGTCCAGTTTGATGAGAGGCGGACATTGCTGGCAGGATCCGAGAATTACTGGGAAATTTTAAACGGGTTTAGTGGGTGAGAACTTGAACACTTCAGATGAATCAAGACACAAAGGAAGCTAGAGGAAACGTGGTCCAAGTAGTTTGTAGGAATGCTGAAGATTGTCAGGATGATGATGATGATGATGTTGATGTTGGAAGAGAATATTAATCAATTGTGTTGATCAAGTAAGAGAATTTCTAAAGAACAGTGAAATAGATTAAAACAAGAAGCTAATTGTTGATCATTACAGGCAGTCCCCAGGTTACGTACAAGATAGGGACTGTAGGTTTGTTCTTAAGTTGAATTTGTATGTAAGTCGGAAGTGGTACATATTGTAGGGGAAACTCTAGCCAAACATTTCTCCAGAGCTCAGTTTTATTCTCCCACACCTCACTTCCCTCAGTCCTTTATTCTCAAGCTGAGGTGTCTGCTGAGAAAAGCCGCTCCGACTGGGGGAGGTGCTAGCTTCGCGTCTCCCTAGTCTGCTGGGGGGAAGCAGCTAGTGCGGGGTTGCCTCACCCCGTTTGTAAGTAGGGATCCAATGTAAGTCGGATCCATGTAACCCGGGGACTGCCTGTACTTCTAGATTGGACAGTTTCAGAATGTGGGGTGTAGGAAAAAAGAGATTTGACCATAAAGGGAAGTTTAGTATGAATTCAAGTGGAAAGAATTTGAATTATGGTTAGGCAATGTCACCCACCTTGCCATCAATTCTGGAGGATTTTTTCAAAAAGAAGGTAAACTAACTTGTGGTGCCTCAGAGGGAGGAATAAAATGACTGCTTATGTCGCCAGGTCACAGCAGGCATATGATGGCAATTTTATCATCAAGGAGATGTCTTGTGCCAGTAGAGATTTATCATTAACAAATCAGACAATAAGAGCACGTCTCTAATGAAGGGTGATAAACTAAAAGGAGGTAGACACTTGCTGAGTGGTTTTGATATGGATAAATATCATTATAGTGGTGCCCATAGGAGTGGAGAAAGTGTAATTCTGAAGGCAGTATAATGAAGAAAGACAGGGCAAGTTGGTTAAGAGAATAATAACTGGCAGTGAGCTGAGATTATTGGGGGAAAAGGAATGACTGAGGGTGAGGGAAAGAAATAGAGTGTGGTTACAGTAGTGAGACAGATGGAGAGAAGTATCTAAGGCTATGTCTACTCTGGTACGGCTTGGTGACAAAAGTGCTGTCGACATGCAAAAGTCACCAAAAGTAAAACTAGTCAAACCAGTTTTTCTGCTTCCCATTGTCAGCATTTCATCCCCACATTGCTAGCACTCTGACAACAGATAGAGCAAAGCAATGTGGGTAAGCATCCCACAATGCAGTGTTGTGGGAAGGCAGAGCTGATCCCTGTGCTTCTTGGGATTCCCTCATAGCTCTGTGAGCTCTCCATGCTGAGGAATGTCAAAGCAGTCTGCCTGCTGCTGTGCTTCTAGTGCAGAGCAGAACAAAAGTATTTCAATGATTTGTTCTTTGTTCCCCGAACAGAGCAGCTCATTCAGCTGTCAGATACTTTGAAAGGGGAGAGGCACATGCCTGCAAGGCAGCAAAGATCACAAAACACTGAGCAGAGCCATCAGCAGGCATTGTGGGATGCTGGTGGAAGTCAGTTCTCTCAACAAATAAACAGCAGAGTCTACACTGGCTGTTTGTTGACAATAAAGGAAGGGGAAAAGACAAAAGTCTCTCACAAGGCTGAAAGTTTTTTGTTGCCAAAACTGGGTGCTTTTCCCAACAAAAGTTGCATTGTAGGGTGTATGCTTTCACTGTTTTATAGACAAAAGGCAGTGTTTGGTGACAAAACATGCCAGTGTAGACAAGACCTAAGAAAAGAGTAAAGAGACCAAAGGAATGGAAAGAAGAGAGAGGGAGGCAGGTGAGGAAGAAGTTGTCTACAGAGAATGAAGATATGAGAGGCCATTGAGAGGGATGGTTGTGAGAATGGTAGCCATACCTAACTCACAGAAAGTCCAGTGATTTGTTAAAGTGTTTGAAGAAGCTGCTTTTGAGAGGGTGAATGAATCAGTTGAAATGGAGAACCTACCGAAAACATGGTGAATGTGAGTGGCAACCCAAGAGAAAATAAAACAACAGGACAATTACATAAGTGGAAAAAATCAATATTGTAAAGTGTAGTTAAAATAATGCATTTATGGAGATTCAGGGTAGAATTTTCACATTTTGATTTTGGAGCTTTTGAAAATCTCCCCATTATATATACATCAGAAAATACATTTTCCATTTTCTAGCCTTGCACTATTAGGATGGCCCATTAAGAAAACTGGAACTCATTGGAAAATTGTAATTAAAATGCTAGGTGCTACAAAACGAAAAGTAAGTTACATCTTTTAAAACAAATGTTTATATAACATGTATCACTCTAGAGACTCTGAGCTTCACATTTTCACACTAGCAAAACTGTCACATGTACTAAAAATCTGCATTTGCAGCCCATTCAAAATCAGTTAACTGTAAGTGCAATTTGATTCATAGATAATAAGGTCTGAAGGGACCACTGTGATCATCTAGTCTGACCTCATATCAAAAGCAAACTAGTGGACAATGGTTTTGATTCATTGACCTCTGGTTTACAGAGCCATTACACTCCCAGTGCACAACAATGTGCAGGCTTTGTGCATACGGTGGCTGCATGTTCTCATACTGAGGGCAAAATTAAGGCACCCGTGTTTGACAAGCTCACCCTTATATTTCTTTAGGAGCCAAATTCTGTTCTGATTGAAGTAAAAGTGGATGTTTGGCCATTGAGTTGAGTGGGAACAAGATTTGGTTTTTGGTGTCTAGATTGCAGTACAAAAAGTAAAAGGGGGAGTGCTATAAAAGGAGTAGAGTAGTAAAATGACTTGTGCTCAAACCTGTACCTAGAAACACAATAGCACAGTGTGTAAAAGACAGGAGCTCAAATTCATTCCCCAGTTTAGTTGGACGTGACCTAAGAAGCCTTTCTGAATTGGCAGATTCTAAAAGAATTTCCAGTTCCACAAAAAAATAGGAGCACGAAGGAACAGATTTACCTAGCAAGGTTGGGGAGAGAGCCAGAATATCCCTGCTGAGTGAAGGGAGTAAGGACTGAGAACTTGTCAGCTGGATGTGTATAAAAGAGATTAACTAGGTCAAGAGCCCAGATCTGGGCTAGAATACGTATTTCATAAACACTGTAGCTTGTATATGTTGTTTCAAACACAAAAACAGTGTGTCATATATGCTCTTCTGCTGTGGTGATGAATTATTGTAATTCCATGAGACAGTATGAACTGCAGAAGAGACAGTAGTTGGCAAAGTCTAGTTGTTTTATAAAAGCATTGGTATTAACCAAGCCACACAGCAAATTTGTTGATATAGGGTTGGTCAGTGAGTGGTGTAATTTCTGTTAGTAATGATTATATGGACAGTAGCTGCACAGCCCAGGATTACAACTAAACCACAGTACAGATCTTCTCTGGAAAGTGCCTGTCAAACTGGCATCACAGGGTTCCATATGCATTTTGATTTGGTAAGTGCCATGTTAACATTTGCTCACTTTACTAATAAAAAGAAATAACATTGGCTGTGGCAGCCAAGCTGTGAGGGTTATTTTTTTCCCCTTTTCCACACACAGAATCATAGAATACTTGAGAGGTCATCAACTCCAGTCCCCTGCCCTCACAGCAGGACCAAGCACCATTTAGAAACAACCGTGACAGGTGTTTATCTAACCTGTTCTTAAATATCTCCAGTGATGGAGATTCCACATTCTCCCTACATCACCAGCATCACTACCAATAATAAAGACTCTAGAGGCAAAATTATGGCCCCAGTTAGATCTGTGCACTGAAGTCAGAATTTCCTTTTCTCGTGTGAGAAGGAAATAACCCAACTTGACTGCAATGAGATGGTTTCTGTGTAAATGGACCAAATTTGATCTGGAGGCATTCATTTTCAATACACATGGCTTTCAGCATGTCATTTTTACAGTTACTCTTCAGAGCAGAGCTGCCCTTGAAGGGTATTTTGAAAATGGAAATATATACATACTGCGTACTAAATCCACTCCAGTAACTTCACAGTTACTTGTGTACCAGGGCTGATGTTGATCGTGTATATCTATTTGAGCATTTTCTTTCCAGTACAGCGAGCATATAGAATAGCATACGGCAAAAATGAAAGCTATAAAATAAAAAAGTAATGTGAAATAGATTCACCGGTGCACATTTTAATCAAATACATTTCCAGTAATAATATTAGTAATTTTTACATCATATCAAATTAGATTTGAAGCTACATGCCATTTAAATTTTTGCCTGCATTGTTAACGCTTAGGCAGTATTTTTATTGAGATCATTAAAGTTTAAAGAAAATCTAATTTATTTGAAAACTTAGCTGTGAATATTAAATTATGCATTAGCTGGTGAATACAATTGCATTCAGAAGCACTGTAGCTGGTGTGCAAATACTCCTCCCTCTTTCTCCTTTCCCCTGACCCTCACACTTCCAAAGTTAAAACACAATTCTGTTATCTCTTGTAATGAATGGAGTTTCATGCACTTTTAACATCCACAGTGATGAAGATGACCTTCCTCCAGCACTGGCAGCAGCTGCTGCAGCATCAACATCAGTTTCATCGGCATCTCCTGTGTCGCAGAAAACATGTACACCACAAATGTCAGAAGGACAAACCCAAATATCACCTGGTGCAAAGGTAAGATACAGAGACAGGGCCGCATAAATAGAGTGAGAAATGATTAGAGATGGTAGATATGTAGACAGAATGTGGCTACGGTTAAATAGTCTTATCATGCCCACTGGAGTCAGTGGGAGTTTTCCATCCATTTCAATGGGCTTTGGATGAGTGCTCAACTTACTTGGATTTCAAATATATATCATTTTTGTTGTCCATCTTTCCAGATGCACCTATCACAACATGTTTAAAATTGTATGCCTGCGTCTAGACTGGCAAGTTTTTCCGCAAAAGTGTCCGCTTTTGCTGAAAAACTTGCCAGCTGTCTACACTGGCCTCTTGAATTTGCGCAAGAACACTGACGATCTAATGTAAGATTGTCAGTGTTCTTGCGCAAATACTATGCTGCTCCCATTCGGGGAAAAAGCCCTCTTGCGCAAATGTATTTGCGTAAGAGGGCCTGTGTAGACAGCTAAAAACTGCTTTGCGCAAAAAAGCCCCGATGGCGAAAATAGCGATCGGGGCTTTCCTGCGCAAAACTGCGTCTAGATTGGCACGGACACTTTTCCGCAAAAGGTGTTTTTGCACAAAAGTGTCTGTGCCAATCTAGATGCTCTTTTCTGCAAATGCTTTTAACGGATAAACTTTTCCATTAAATGCATTTGTGGAAAATCATGCCAGTCTAGATGCAGCCTATGTGTAATTTATTATCCATTTTGCTAAATCAGTTTTAATTAAATAATTTTACACTCGAATTACAAATACTAAATATTTACCCAACCTGTGTTTTCCCCCTGCTGCTAGAGCCCCACTGATGTCGGAAGTACATTTGCTTTGGAGCCAGGTGACCTTCTGATGGATTTCACAGAAGCCACACCTATGGTAAATAGTTCCAGCTCGCAGCTAGAAATTTTAAATGTCTTTAAAAGCTATTTGCAAACCAGAATGACTATGTTCTTATGTTGCACATTGTCTAATAATCCAAACAAAGAAATTATGCTCTGAGTTTTCAGAAGGGCTGAGTGTGCATTAAAATCAGCTCAATGATTCTGAAAATCAGGCCATTAATACGTAAGGTTGTCAATTTTTGTGGCTGTCCAGTTGGAATGAAGTTCTTCTTTCATGGAGATATTGATGCTCATTTTATTGGGCTGCCCTAGTTTGACCGGCCTGTTTGGTACTATAGATATGTATAGCTAGATCTGTTGTCTCCTCCTTCCCCTGTCTGCTCTAGCTCAGTTCAGAGATCAGCCAAAAAATAATCCTATATATCTGACCACTCTTTCACTTTTGGCTGGTTCAAAATATTGCACTTTGGCTTAACAAAAGTAGGCAGGGTGATAAATGTTGATCAGGAATTTATTTCTTTAAAATAATACATTCTTCAGCACATTTATGTTTTTGCTTAAAAAACAGGAGTGAAGTCCTGGCCCAGCTGAAGTTAATGACTAAGTTCCCATGGACTTCAGTGGAGACAGGATTTTACCCTAGACTCCCAATGGGTAATCTGGAGTATTACACTTTTATCTTGAACTACATTTTGCAAACTAATCATTGCATCTGAAAGATGTAAAATACCATGTAGCTCTTCAAAGGTCACTTCGTCAAGTAATATTTATTGTTCTCAAGAGATTATATTAGGAAAAGCAGTGAAAAACTATTCACTGAATGGCTAGATCCTGGCATTTCATTATACCAAAACTATTGTGTGTGGACATACTTTTTGCTTCAAAGACAGGTATCCAACAAGCCACAAATTGCTGTACAGCCCATGTTACATTTAGATATGGAGTATTTTTTCTGCTTTGTGCTTCACAAAACAGTGTTACATCCTTGTCCTTGTTCTGGTGACACAGACCAGGATTTATTCCTTAGCGTATCTATTTTACCAACCCTTTTTCACCCTCCATTGATCTTCTTGCCAAGACTATAGTTCATAAATTGACTTCCACAAGGTTCCTTGGTTTTCTCAGGTATGGACAAAGTTCTACACATCATCAGTCAACATTTTTGTTTCATTTAACATGTACAAAGGTCAGCCTAAATAGCTGTTTTGAAATTACTGTTCGCAAACCTTTCTCCACAAGATTTACTGGGGACGACATCACTCCTGTCAAATGAGTGTTGAATTAAAGTTTATTTACAGAAATGTGAGCCCAAACCAAAAGCAACACCCCCCAAGACTATGGGGGAATTCAACCCCAAATGTCATGCCTTGGGTCCATCCCTGTTTGTTCTGTTGTGGTGGTGACAGCAGCAGAGGTGCTGGAACAGTTTCCATAGTGAGGGTGCTGAGAGCAATTGAACCAAACTGTGAAGCCTGTTTATGATGGAAACCAAGCCAGGGTGTGTGTGGCAGCAGCCCCACCATGCCTAGTTTTAGTACTGATGGAGAGCAGGTGCTACCACCAGGGACAGATCATTAGCTGGCATAGATCCAGTGAAGTCAGTGAAGCTATGATGATGTATACCAGATGAGGAGCTATCTCTTTGTATCTATCTTGTTGGATCATACACTTGTTTCACTGTATTGTTTAATATTTCATATTTGTCTCATGGTCTTTTAATTTCATTGACATCACTGTGCTTGGTAGGGTGCCTGAATCTACAGTCCATATTTCAACAAAACTATCAGTTTATCGTTCAGTCACACACAGAGTGAGCTAGACATGAAAATGTCCCTTTTGTTTTCTATTGCCTAAGTCAAACATTTGTTTATTCTTCTGCCCTATAGCAGTGCTTATTTTCTTCTTCATATATCTTTTTCTGTGTACTGGTAAAAATGCAGGACTGTAGATATCTGCCTGCATTTTATGGGCAGAAGTGAGCACATGAATATGCATAACCTTTTCTGAAGGTGAAATTCCTTTCATACTTTCATTTGTAGGTTTACAAATACCCAATTTCCTCCTCTTTAAAGCTGATGGGTACAGAGAACTGACATTTGTGCTAATGTTTGTGTGTTTGGTATAAAGCATTGTGGCAAAAATCCCAACTAGAGGCTGTCACAGAATATATGGTGGATTATATGCACTGAGATTATGGATGGAAATCAAAGTTCTTAAAATGCTGTTAGCTCCCTTTAAGTGCTGAAGGGACATGACATAAGCCACATGTGAGGATTTGTGGAGATCGTTCCCTCCTTCCAACACCTCGCAGGGCAAACATGTACTGTGCTTCAGAGGCAACACTTTTCTGGATGGTAACAATTAAATAAAATGTAAATTTAAGTGATTTTTTGTGTGTGGAAAAAATTGATTTCCTCCACACACTAAATTGTAGGTTGCAGATGTTGCAGGTTTCAGGTAATTAGAAAACAGAGAGATGTTTTGGAGCTTGTGATTGGCCTGCTTTTAGTGTTTCCTTATGGCCTCTCAGGGCACAGCTCACCCAGTGGCAGATCTCTGCCAATACCTCACTGACTCTGGGAGCTTTGAGGTGGCAGTGCTTGGCCATCTGGCCAAGGCACACTTCAGTCATATGCGTTCTAGAGTGTCATGGCCCAAAGGCAATCAGGAACCTCGCAACTCAAAATAATTGTCCAGTGAACTTTTGCTGGGACCCTGCCCTTCTGTTCAGAGCTTGCCTCTAAACAATCCATGCTTTTGCTGATCCTCTTGGGTCTTGTCATCCTTTCTATCTGTCAGGCTAGCCAGCTCAGTCTCTGGGCTGCAATGAGGCTTCTCTCTGATCAAGGGGAAGCAGAGCTCCTCACTCCATCCTAGTCAGCTTAGAACTAGGCTTGGTCTCTTTTTAACTCCTCTCTCCAGGCCTCACGTTTGCTGCAGGTGGAGCTGAGGGAGGTCATCTGGGTCCTCAGGCTCTCCTTAACCCTCTTCTAGCCAGTGTGGGGGCTATTTTCCTCATTAACCCCCTCATTGCCAGCATGGGGCCTCCTAACCCATCACAGGATTCCATGCTTTTCTTCCAGAAGTGAGAGAACACACACAAGTGAAATGACACATGTGACCAGTGACTATGAGAACAAAAGCTAGGCTATTGAAAGGAAGGAAATATACCCGTAATGGGAGCTAATTTAAGCACTGTTAAAACTAACGTATACCATACATAGAGCATGCCTTTACCAAACTCCTATGTAACTTCGCCTCAATGAAAAAAGATAGATGGGAGAGAGAGAGAGAATCTCAAAATACGCACATTCTCTCTGACTTAAACCTCAGAATTCTGACTGAAGGGCAGGGGAAGTGACAATTGGTGGGTGCAGGGAGGGCCAGCCAGTGGAGCAGTGTGGGGATTGGGAGCACCCCATTTAGCAATTAACATTTTATAGGGGTACAGAGGAGCAATGCACCTCTCAAGTCCTACCACGAACCACCTATGGGAGGATATGTGGAGGAGAGGAGTCAAGATCTTTTTGTGTTTGGCTTGTTTTAATTTTCAGTGTTATGTGTCCAAGAGACAGCACTGAACTTGCCTTCTGCGTTCAATCACAGAGCAGGCTGTTACAGCTCTTTCCTCAGGTTTCTGTACTGTACCCAAACATTAGATCCCATGTGCTTCACTGTCGGAAGACAGGATACTGAGCTAGATGGACCTTTGGTCTGACCTAGTATGGCCATTCTTTCTACTTAGCTTTCCTAAATCTGAGCAACTTCCAGACATTCTCTCTAAATTTGGCTGCTCAGGCACAGTCCCAGGGCACAGATTTCATGCGAGATGTGGGGTGCCATAGCTCAGTTGCCTTAGGCCAAAGGCCATGCTGAACTCTCCTAGGTCTCTCCAGTGGCTTAGGCACACTTCCCACAGAATTCCAGCCCTTGCTAGCACACTGCTTTCCATGTTAGCTCAGAATTGTGCATTTTAAAAAAAATATAGGAGTTAGGATATAAAATGGTTATCGGATTATGGTTCATTAACTGTTCTTCAATATCAGTGCCTTTTCTGCCATGGTCATCTCTTTTTTTATATATCTGTAGCTTTTCAGAACTTGGATATCAAAACACAAGCTGAAACTATTGCATTTGTGTATTAAATAAGTATTATTTGTAACAAGGCTCTTCGGATCATCTGGGGTGCAGGTGCTAAAACCCTGCATTAATATTCAGGGTAGCTATTCCCGAGTAACACTGGCAAGTAGTTTCAGAAATTTCCAACCAGGATAGAATGAGGGTAGGAGGCAGCCTCTTTTCCAGGGCCTACAGAGAACTAAAGAGTTAGGACAGAATAAGTCTCAAAGGGAAATACGAGGAACAGCCAAGCTTGGTAAGCAAGTTTAAGCTGAGATTTATGCTGTGTTCTTGTTTATGCATTACCATTAAAGCCAGACCCTGTAAAGGGCATGGTCATTAACTCAGGGCCAGTAGACACTGACCTGGATGGTGGGATAGGATCACAGCCAGTTCACAATGATTAAACCATTAAAATAAATAGGGGTGGGGGATGGGAAAGCTTTTTTACTATTATGATGATACATGCAGTCCATAACTGCTCTTATTTCACAAAGTAGCAAATGTAGAAATTACTAGTGCCGCATGTGCCACCTATTGGTCGAAAGTGGGAAATTATTTCTACTAATTTGTATGTTCCAAAACTGGGGTATTAGTTTATATGTATGTGTATGTTTATGCATATAAAGGGATATGTTTGAAAGGTTAAATGATCATAAATATAACTATATATATTTTTAATTGAAGGTGAGTTTGCGACAAATGTTTTAATTTTTTTAATTGTTGCCATGGGCTCTTGACTTTAGCAGATTTGCACAGAAATTGATCTATTTAACTTGTAAAGCATTGGAATGAAAATGGAGTTTAATCAAAGTTAACTTATGCTCATGCTAACTTTAGGCCTAATAATCATGAAGCCATTGGAAGTCCCAGAAGAGTATAGTCAGATTGGTCCTTGTTATAATACATGAGAGG